AATATCTGAATCAGTGAGGTGGGGCAGCAGTTTTGAGATTTAAGGGAAGGGAGGGAGATATAAAAAGGGGGAGGGGAAGAGAAAAGAGAGAAAAGTACATTGCAGCATATTAATGGAAATTCCATAATAAAACCTATAAGCTTGTAGGCTAGCTTAAAATTTTAATCTAAAAAGTGGGGCACTAGAGGAAATTGGTGAAATAAATGGTGGTGCTCAGGATCATGAGTTCAAGACTGCCCTGGGCTATAAGACAAGGCTAGACTCTGTCTCAAAAGTACCACTAACAACATCTAAATCAGTACAATAATTTCGATGGTTTACATTGATTGTCAAGTTGACAGGACCTAGAATTACCTAGACAAGGCTCTGGGCATGTCTGTAAGGAGTTATTGAGTTAACTGAGATGGGAAAACCCACCCTAAATGCAAGTGGCTCCACTCCGTGGGTTGGGGTCCTAAACTGAATATAAAGGAGAATGCCCACTAAGCACCAGCACTCATCTCTCCCTGCTTCCTGACCATGGACACAAAGTGACCAGCTGTCACACTGTGATCAAGTTACTGTCACCATGACCCCCCCACCGTGATGGACTGTACCCTCGAACTGTGAGTCAAATAAACCCTTCCTTCCTTAAGTTGCTTTTTGGGTTATTTTGTCACAGCAACAATATAAATAACCATGACAAATAACTTAGACCTGGCAACGTTTTCAAGTTGACACAAATCAAATGACAAAATCTCAGATGGGTTCAAGGGTTCCTTTCCTCGGTCTTTTCCCCTCTTCATTTGGTTGCTTTCTTCTCCCAATCATTCTAAGAACAACTCTGTGCTGGACCTAACTTGTATTAGTTCATGAAAGAGGATGGTTCAGTTTTCATCAAGATTAGAAACAGCATTGGCTGTGGTAGGAGAACTTATCAAGATTTATCACTGTGGAGACTGGGAAATACTGAAAATTAGGGCTTGTTTCCCCAAGAGTCGGTCATTAAACACCAACTGTATTGCTTTATATTTTGTTTTTCATGCCTGGGACTGGGATTTAACTCAGGGATTTGTGCATGCTAGGCAAGCATTCTATCAGTAAACTATATCTACAGCCCCTAGTTTTTGAAGTTAACATCTACTTTTAAAAGAACATGTCAAGAAAATTTCAGCCAGGTATGCTGACACATGCCTCTAACCCAAGCACTTGGGAGGTAGAGGTGAATTTTTGCCATATGTGCCTTAACGCTGCTTGAGCCAGAAAATGGTTTTCCTCTGCTCTTATTTTTTCACCTTAAAATAGATTCTTTTAATGCTTCCTGGCTTACTAGAGGATATTTCATTGTAAAAAACCCCGATTCCAAGTTACAAGATGTTTGATTTCTCATAATAAATTTAAGTTTATGACTTATAAACATTAATGTTCTTATTTCTGTGGCTCTCACATTATGCTATAATTTAAATTTATGTTTAATGAATTCTTGTTTAACATAATAATTATATTATCAAGTTTTGATAAATAAGATCCACCAAGAGCAATATTAATTTTTGTTTGTTAAACATATTTTCAGGCACCCAATTTAGAACCAAGTATTTAGGGTTAGAGTAATGGTTCAGAGGTTAAGAACACTTATGATCTGATGAAGACCTGGATTCAATTTCCAGACCCACATCAGGCAGCTCAAAATTTCCTATAACTCTAGTTCCAGAGGATCTAAAATCCCTGGCTTCTGTGGGGACCCACAGTTGTATAATGCACATAAACTCACGTAGACACATACACATACATACAATTTAAAGGGGTTTTTGTTGGTTTTTTTGTTTGTTTGTTTGTTTGGTGTTTTTGAGACAGGGTCTCCCTATAGCCCCAGCTGTCCTGGAACTCACTATGTAAACCAGGCTGGCCTTGAACTCACAGAGATCCATCTGCCTCTGCCTCCTGAGTGCTGGAATTAAAGGCATGTGCCACCATGCCTGGCTTACAAATTAAAGTTTTTAAACAAAACCCCAAGTATTTGCTGAAAGAACAAATGAATCAGTATGTATGTAATAGTAGGAACAGGATATGAAGAACAGTCAGATATTAACTGAATGAAGCGAGTTATGAAGCAAAACACAGAAAATTTAATTTGGAAAAAAAAAATGAATGTGGTGGTTTGAATGAGGAGTATTGCCCTTAGGTTGGTCAGTTGGTGGTGCTGTGCTGTTCAGGCAGATCATGGAACCTTTAGGAGGTGTGGCCTTAATGGAGGAAGTACATCACTGGGGTGGGCTTTGAGCATTCATAGCCTTACCCACTTCCAGTTTCTCTCTGTGCTCAGACTGCTTCCTGCCATGTCTCCCCGACCACGACAGATGCCCATCCCTCCGGACCGTAAGCCGAATTAAACTCTTTCTTCTATAGGTTGCCATGGTCATGGTGTTTTATCACAGCAACAGAAAAGTGACTAATAAATGAATTAATCAAATACATGTTATAAATTCATAAATTATTGATAGAATAAATTCACAGAACTGTTTGCAGAAGATTTCAGGGCACCCAACTTTCTGTCTTAAGAATTTATGTAATTGTAACTCCTATGTAACATAAGATTAGGATGTAAGGCATATTTAAGTTGTACTATAATATATTCTTTTGATTATTTCAAGGTTTTCTACAGTCCTTGAAAAGCATCCTTACCAACCACCTATACGTTATATACTTGGTTTTGACATTGTTAAAAATCAGCAGCTTTATTGGGTCCTTTACTTATATCTTCAAATTCGTAGAGCAACAGTATGGACGGTCAGCATCTCAGGCTAACTTTTTGTTAGGTAAGACACTGTTTACCAATTTGCTTTGTAGATAAATAGTATAGAATCACTATTTCCCATGTGTCATTCTATTGTGAATGTCCTCCATAGTTCAGTAATTAACTCCTGTATATTCTTTCTGATATTATTAAATGTGTTCATGTTGTAACCTAATCATGATTCTGCCTTTGAAGTTGCATCCCATACTATGAAGTATCTAAAGAAAAGTGGCGTGTGACTGGACATTTAAACACACTATCTGTATAATTCTGTCTTATGATTTAATACTGAGATCTTCAAGTAATCATCTTTTAATGTGGTCATTATAATTCTATAATTTAAAGGCTTCAAAATTAGGATTCAGGGGCTGGAGAGATGACTCAGTTGTTAAGAACACTTAGCGCTCTTGGGGAGGACCCAGAATAGGTTCCCAGCACCCACTTCAGATGGCTCACAACTGTCTATAACACCAGTCCCAGGCTGTTATATGGATAGAGGGATACGACACCCTCTTCTGGTATCTGTGGGCACCTGCACAAATGTGGTACACATACGTATACTCAGACACACAAACACACATACACATACAATTTAGTTTAGCTAAATGTGAAAATAGGACAGTGATAATTGTAGAATGAAAAGCAATTTAAATACACCATAAAATATGCATACCTCCAGGCAAATACCTCACCTAGGATGATAATTTATAACAATGCTTATTTTCAGTGCCATATTAACACTCATTTATTAAGGAAATATTTTTTCTTATATTGTTATTCCCACAACTCCAATAATGGACTTACCATAGATACACAGTAAATTTTTGATGACTAAGAAATGATAAAGTGGTATGGTACAATATCATAAATAGTGGAGAGATGACCATTCCTAACACACTGTACAAGAAGACTGTACCATTCTCTGGTTGAATGTAAAAGTTTAAATTATAAAAGTTGAGTTTTGACTCCCCATAACTTTGAATTTTTTGTTAAAGTAATCTTTGTTTTTAATAACTCTCACTGAGCAATTAAGTGGAAAATTTATGATTAAGCATTTCAGTAGTATATTATAGACATGTTATTTATCTCTTTTTATGAATCAGAAAGAAATAATCATTCAAATATTCAATTCTACAGCACTAAGCAAATCTGAAGTAAGTTCTTGAGAGCAAAAAATCTTCCTTTTTGAAGATGTAAAGATTTCAGATCACATGGTAAAAGGTTTAAGCAGAAGTAGGTATAGTGTTGTTATTGTCTTCCCGAGGGAAAAAAGTCCCAACCAGGAATAACCTGTTCAATTGCAAATATTCTCTGTTATTGCTTTTTGTTATTGAGAAAATGAGACCCTCATCTCTGACAGGAAGGTGTTATTTTTGTCTTTCCCACATCATCCATCTCCATTTTGGCCACCCACTTCTGCTCTACGAAGTTAAAAAGTTGGCCTGGCATGGTGGCACACATCTTTAATCCCAGCACTTGGCAGTTAGAGGCAGGTGGATCTCTGTGAGACTGAGACCAGCCTGATCTACATAGGGAGTTCCAGGCTAGCTGGGGCTACAGGAAGACTCTGTCTCAAAAATAAGAAAAAGTAACAAAACTGAATTAACTTGATAGACATATACTGTTTTATATGTAACAACGTCTCAGAAAAACCTTAATTACAACTGTTTTCTGTCTTATTTCTAGGACTCATAACCTTACCTGCTGTGGCAACAGGAATGTTTTTAGGAGGATTTATTATTAAAAAGCTCAAGCTGACCTTGGTCGGAATTGCTAAATTTGCGTTTTTCACTACCTTCATGTCCTATCTGTTCCAGCTGTTATATTTTCCTCTACTCTGTGAAAATAAATTAGTCGCTGGTCTAACCTTGACCTATGATGGGTTTGTATATACCACTGTATATATATCATTGAGAAAATGAGACCCTCATCTCTGACAGGAAGGTGTTATTTTTGTCTTTCCCACATCATCCATCTCCATTTTGGCCACCCACTTCTGCTCTACGAAGTTAAAAAATTGGCCTGGCATGGTGGCACACATCTTTAATCCCAGCGCTAAGCAATTTAATATCAATTGCTTCATGTGTCAATGATACAATGAGAAGACTGTGAGGGAAACAGGGCAGAAAACAATTTTCATTTAACTTCTTTTTAGTTAGTAAGAATTACAATTTATGATTTCCAAAAATGAGCATTTCTTGAGACCTCAAAAACTCAGCTTTTGTTTCTTCCTTAAAGAAAAATTGTTAGTGTGGTGATAATAATATCAGCTGTGCAGTGTTTACAGTGTATGCTGAGCACTTCTGTCCCCATTTTATAGATAGGGAAAGTAAGGCTTGTAGAGCCATGCCAATTATTCAGCCAACAGTGACTTGACATCACCTCAGGGACTCAAATTTGGGGTTTTAGACTCCAAAACACTTAGTCTCAGCCACCACAGTTGTGGATAGGTCCTGAGTATAATAGATGATATTCACCAGAGTGACTGAATAACCTTTATTTAGAGTTCATCTCGGGGTTTAATAATACCTTGTCTTTATTACAATAAACTTGTCTTTATTCCGTACTCTTTCCATTGGGAATAGAATTGCTAAACACCCATGAGACCTTGGAGAGCCTTTAATTTCCCATAACTATCAAATAATGAAAAGTTTTCTAATTACCTCAACCTACGCTGGGCAATGCCAGGGCAAGGCATCTATACAGAGTCCCTGTCTTCTCCCTACTGTAGCTAGCAACCTAAGGTCAGGGAGGTTCACATATCAGCAACAAGCAAAGAGCTTTACATGTCAATTCTCCAATTTTGCTCTATCAGTTTAGCTTGGTGTTTGCAAACTCAGCGCCCCTTCCCTCCCCTCCCTTCCCTTTCCCTCCCCTCCTTCCTCTCTTCCCTCCCATCCCCTTCCTTCCCTCCCCTCCCCTCCCTTGCATATTTATAAGTCCTACACATGTACTATCACCATTGACCAACATAGTGGAATGAGAAGAGCCGAAGAGAGAGCAAGCTTAACATTAATAGCAGACTACGTTCAGCTATAGTTCAAAAAGACCAGGTAATAAGTTTGTATTCTTTTAACCAAACTCCTGTAAAGTCTGATTAAAGTATCGCTTTTCTGTCACGATGTGGTTGACAAAGAGCGTGTCAGAGGCAATGTCACCTGCACTTACATCATTAGTGTGGCCTTCTACCTGTGGCTTTCTCACTGGACTCTCTGTGAGTCACGATCTGTTTTGTGAGAGCTGGTTTCCCCTGAGGAAGGTAATCTATGAGTTCACACGAAAGAAACATGAGCTGAGCATGAGGGACCTTTTCCTTCCAACATCCATTGTGTGCTCTGCTGGGCTCATGACCTTCCACAGCACTAAACCAACCCTGCCTTTAGCCTTTGATTAGACAACAATAGGGCTTGACTTCTACTCCTCTTCTTCCTCCTCCTCCTCCCCCTCCTCCTTCTCTTCGTCCTCCTCCTCCTCCCTCTCCCCTTCCTTCCCCTCTTCCCCTCCTCCTCCTCCTTATTCTTCCTTTCCCTCCATCATTCCCTTCCTTCTTCCTACCTCCCTTTTCTACCTCTCTCCCTCTCTCTCCATGTGCCTCTGCTCCTCTGACATATGTCTCTCATATATTTCCAGAATGAACCCAGTGGACTCTCATGTAGATGTACCACTTTCCTATTGCAATTCAGACTGCAGTTGTGATAAAAACCAATGGGAACCCATCTGTGGGGAGAATGGTGTGACTTACATTTCACCCTGTCTAGCAGGGTGCAAATCTTCTAGTGGTGGTAAAAAGCCTAATAATAACACAGTGAGTATCACTTCTCACTCTCTCAAGCTTCTCCTTAGTCAAAATTACATTTACTCACTGAATCTTTATAGGACTAATATCTATAGAAGAGAGATAGAAGAAAGAGATTCTTGCCAGGCATGGTGGTGCACGCCTTTAATCCCAGCACTCGGGAGGCAGAGGCAGGCTCTGTGAGTTCCAGGCCAGCCTGGTCTACATAGTGAGTTCCAGGGCAGCTGGGGCTGCAGGGAGATCCTGTCTCAAAAAAACAAACAAAAAAAGAAGAAAGAAAGAAAGAAAGAAAGAAAGAAAGAAAGAAAGAAAGAGATTCCTATATGATCTGTCCTTGTGATGGCTGTCATGTAAACAAAGCTTCATATAAAATGCAGAATTTTGCCTTTTGGAATATGAATGCATTTAGAATTTCTAAGAAGCATTACATCCACTGAAATACATGTAATTAGAAAGAAAGAGTGAGAGAAAGAGAAATATTTTAAAAGTTGTCTGAATGAAGAAAATTATGAATGATTTCAGACACAAATTTCTTCACTTCTTTTGCAACTTAAAAGTTGGGAATGAATTAAATGATAGTAGCAAATTACATTTTCTGATGCAGAAAGAAATGCAGAAGCTATCTTGTTATGATTAAGCAACTGTAGTTTTAGAATTTCTTAAACTGGAAGTACTTTAGTCTGAATAGATGAAACGTCTCTAAATCTAATGGAATTATGACACTATCATATTTTGCAAGCATCTTCTGTAATATTTCAAAAACTTTTGTTTAGGTATTCTACCAATGCAGCTGCATCAAAGCCCTTGGTGTCCAGAATACAAATTACTCAGCCCATTTTGGGGAATGTCCAAGAGAGACTTGTAAAACAAAATTTTACCTTTATATAACTGTACAAGTTGTGAACTCTTTTTTCATTGCAATGGGAAGCACCTCGTTTATCTTGATTCTTGTGAAGTAAGTACGACTTTGTTTTCATGCTTATGTGTGTGTTCAGGGTGTTGGTGCTTCTGGGTGTCAGCACTCGTGTAGGTGTTGGTGCATGTGTGGGTGTTGGTGCACATGTGGGTGGTGCATGCAGGACCCGCACAGCATACACGTTTGGAGTTCTGAGAACTGTTTTCAGCACTCAGGCAACTTCCACTTTTTATGTCAGACAAGGTCCTTGTTGGTCTGGAACTTTACCATCTAGGTCAGGCCAGCTAGCACTAGCACGTATGCTTCCAGGGCTCTGCCTCTATCAGGACTTGAGTTTGCTTTGCTCAGCGGGGGACCTACTGGCTTCAGGGGCAGAGAGGCTGGATCAGTGACAGAGTAACTCTGAGACTTCTGTTTACCTTCACACAAGCCATTTATTACAAAATTCAGATGGTTTTCATACATTACAAGGAAGTGGCAGTCACATAGGGTACAGCAGTCACCTACAAAGATGTAGGGCACAAAGAAACAGGACATACAGCCTTTTAGTTGGCACCAGCAGCATGCTTAAACTTTCACTCAAGGTTACCAATGCCTGTCCACTAATTTATTGGCCACAATATTTTCTTTCTTAGGGCTAAAAGCATGGTAAACTTTTAGCTTTTAGTTTAGGCATAGACCTTTAACCTGGCCTAATCTCTTAGCTAATGGCAGCTGAGTTATTTGTTCAGGACAGGGAGATGAGCTGTTGACCAAGATGCTTTCCCACAGAGCAGGGAGCCTGCACTTTTGACCTGGATGTTTTTCTCCTGCCACTCTCACAATGTTCTGCAAGACAGGGATATTGGAGGTACTGTGTTCAGTGTCCCTCCCTTTAGCAGAACGTAGCTTGGACTTAAAAAAATTTAGGCTCATCTCATCCTAGGGCATGGCATCCTGGTTGCCTACATGCGTCCTCCTCCCACCTCCCCATTTCTGAGATTACAGCTAAGTTCTGGTGTTCCAAACTTGGATTCTTACCCTTGCAAGGCCAGATCTTTGCCAACCAAGCCATCTCCCCAGCTTGAATATGAATTGTTAAAAGATTCATATAGTAACATATTAGTGTATACATGTTTAACACTGTGCATTTTCTCATAATATACTTGGAACCCAAGTTCAAAACTTGTTCCATTTTAATTATCCAAGAGCATAACTTCTCAGGATTATTGTATTAGTTCAATGTTGTAATTAATAATAATGTTGCCTCTGATTATTTCTTACATTAGGAAATCTAGAGTCCATGCATTCTCCTCTGGCTGAGATTCATGACATAGATTTACTGGTAATTTCCTGAACTGTAGAAAAATCTTGCTATTATTTTAAAAGAACTTATATATTGAGCTCCATTGAGTCCTTACACACCCAGAAGAGATTGAGCTCATTGAAAGAAACCCATTTTGTCCCTGATAAGTTTAAATTTTTAAATGAAGTCGTTTTGAAAGTTTTCATCTATCTACAGAGAAGCTTTGACTTAGTATTTCATGATATCTGGTAGACAGAAGAAGAAAGCTATTTGGGAAGAGTTCATTCCTTCACTTACTAGAGAAATATTAAAACAAAATGCCATACTTAAAGAATATTCCATGGTGGGGCTGGAGAGATGGCTCAGTGGTTAAGAACACAAGAGTGTTCTTCCAGAGGACCCAGCTTGGATTCCCAGCATCCACATGGTAGCTAACAACCATCTGTAACTCCAGTTCCAGGGGATCCGACACCTTCTTCTGATCTCTGTGGGGGCACTGCATACACATGGTGTTCTTAATGTACACATAAAATAAAAATATATAAAATATTTAAAACACGATTCCATTCTATTTAAGCTAACGGATAAAGTTCTCATTGCCATGCACCATAGAATAAACAGGAAATATCACTGTAGCACAGATTCAGATTAGCCTGAAACTAAGCACACAGCAATTACAAAATGATCTTTGCACTCTAGGGAAAAGATGACTATGAAAATGAATAAAAGGGAGGCCCAATTTATGACAGAGGTGAGGACCCAGGAGGGAGCATCTCAGAGATGCATTTCAAGAGAATTGTCACTTAATCTGAAGATCTAAAAATGAAGTAGCCAAATGAAGGGTTCAGGCTTCAAACCCTGAGCCTGGAAAGAGCTAAAGTGTTTGAGGAATGAGAAGGAGCAACCGACCAGACTCACCGAGGAGGGTTTGGAGCAGATTAGATGGGAAGTTAAGCAGGAAGCAGGTAATCACAGCTCCATTTGGTAAAGTTAATCACTCAGTCACACCTAAAGCCAAAACATGAAATTTTTCAGGTAACTCTTGTAAAAAATATATACATATACAAGTATGGAGACCTGGATTAATATCTAATTATACTTTTGAACCTGCATGTTTGATTAAAAGTTCCCTAAAGGCTAAGAGGAAGGAAGAAAGATGTCTTAACTCTTGTTAGAATAAAGATAGATCTTTAAAAATCATCTGCACTGGTTTAAATTGGGCTCTGCGCCATATTTCATCAAGTTATTTACAATAAGCTGTTTCTTTCCTATTTACACTAAGCTATTTTGAAAGGTATAACTCTACCTTTATCTAAAATGTCTATTTAAAAGAAGTTCAAGGCCAGCCAACAGTATATAGAGAAATGTTGTCTCCACCCATCCCCTGTAAGCGAGGGTTAGAAATTAACAGAAACTTCAATGACCTCTGTGTTCTCCATGGCTCACTAACCTGTTTTTAAGTAGTATCCTCTTGTGATTACATGTTGCATACAATCTCCAACCATCAGTTTATAATTATTATGCAATTTGGGGTACAAAGGCTCTGGAAGCTAGCTGTCACCCGTTTCTATACACCGTGTGGGTCTTAATGACCCAACATAGGTTATCAGATTGGTTGCAATGGGCCTTGCCCACTGAGCCACCTCTGCAGCCCCAAATCCCTCCTTTGTTCAGACAGGGTTCATGTAGTACAGAGTGCCCTCAAACTAGTCATGTAGCCATGATGCTGCTGAAATTATAGAATTTATTTTTTATCAGCCCTGGGGAATCTCATGTTAGGCAAATGGTCTACCACTGAGCTTATAAGCCCAGTAGAACTTACTATTTATTTGGAGACAGGCTTCCATCAAGTTATCAAGATAGTCTTCAAGTTTATATCCTCCTGCCTCAGCCTCCTGAGTATCTGGGTCACAGATCTGCAGTAGCAGGTCCAGCTTATAGCGCTTTGTTTAGTGGTACTGGCATGCAAATCAAGGGTTCTCCTGTGGTTTGCCTCTTAGTGTATCTCTTACTCATTTTAAGTGGGGTTTCATGGAGGTTTTTCCTACAGCTCAGGCTGTCCTTGAGGTCACCATTCCTCTGCCTCAGACTCCCAAGTACCAGGATTACAAGAATGTGCAACAACCTCAGAATTCCTCATTTCATCTTAAAACCCTGTCCCTAATGGAGAACAGAGAAGAGAACAAGACTTCCACATGTTGCTATGCACACTCTTCTGCTTTGTAACATCCGTAACGGCACCATCGCTCGTGCTCCAGGAGCGTCCTGGATTGGGCTTTATTTTCAGGTCCCTCTGCAGCATTATAATGTGCCCCAGATCATATAATGTGAATTTCATTACAAATATTTGCTAAGGATACCAAAAATGAAACTTTACTCATTTTACCAAATTACAGAAAATACTTCCAAAATTCATAAACTCATAACCAACAAAAATATTAATTACAAATGCCAAAAGGGAGGGGCTGCGTAGTTGGCTCAGAGGTTTAAGAGCACTGACTGCTTTTGCAGCAGACCCGGGTTCGGTTTCCAGCACCCACATGGCTATGAACCACCCTTAACTCCAGTTCCAGGGGAATCCAAAGTCCTCTTCTGACGTCCATGGCATTGCACAGCACAGGTGCACTCACATACACGCAGGCAATACACTCATACACATAAAATAA